TACATTATTCTTCAAGTAAATTGCAACACGATCGATTGATGAAGACAATTCAAGCTACGTTGATGAGATAACCTTGTTATGTAAAGGGTTAAGGGAGCCTCAATGATGGTAGAAATAGAACTCACCGTCTTCGTAGAGTTAAGTTTAAATTTTTACTAAGGTCTGCCACGTCATGAAGGTGGCACCTACTGTCCCACTCCTACTGAAGGTGGCACTCCTCAGGCTCGTAAGGCACCCACTCCACGCCATCCGACTTGCCGTGGCCGGGACTAGGCCGTGTGAGCCAGCCGTCCAGAAGCTCAAGATAAAAAAAACTTTCGTTTACAAGTTCTTCCGCATGCTTTCGGGTTTGCGGGAACAAGTTACGGGAAGGCGGGAGAGATCAACTAACTTGTGTAGCTGTTCGAGTTCGGCACTAATTCGGTCCAACCGTTCCAAGGTGTCTCGAATCCACGAAATAGAATTCCAGATGTACTGTTCGACGCGTTGGCAACGTTTCAATAGGTCTTTAATGGGCGTGAATATGTCCAACATCAAGACTAGTTTCACTGCAAAATCTTGACCACGAACTTTGAATTTGACAGCGTCCACAGGGCTCGCTGTCTCGCGGTTCTGGATGAATCCTCGAACAAGAGACTTGTAGCTCTTGTAGAGCGAATCTAGAACCGCGATTGAAGCGCTGAAAAACCTAAAGGCCAGGAGTCAATAGAGACCAACATTTTGTTCCGTATACTAAGATATTAAAAAAATTATTTGTATATATTGTGAGATTTTCTTTACGAAATCTTTACCTATTGAATCAATTAAACTTTATCGACAATTTGTAATTACGTATGGTCAGTTAATGTATCGAAATTTGTCAAAGGAATTTGTAATTGATGTACCTGACTTTACTGGTGCCAGTTCCAAAGTAATATCCCTCACAATTCCATAGTAATATCCTTAACGAGACAACAATTATACAGTAATTTTTTACCTTGTGGCTATTAGGCGAGTAGCCAAAGTGGCCTTCGAGTCCCCACTTATCGTACTTGCTTTGTATTCGGAGTAGCCACGTCCTGCAGCAAACATATCGGCAAACGAATTAGCACGATCCAAGAAACATTTAAAGAACTGTGAAGAGGAGGACTTGTCTCTGACTTCCTTGGCTGCTAGGTCTACGAAATGCGCAGAGTCCCAGAACACACCACAGGCACTGCTAGATCGACGTCGCCTTTTCCGAATCCGCATCGCTGCTGCAGTGTCGCTTTGAATCCACGGGCATGATATTGGCCGTTGGAGTGGTTTGCTGGTAAAAATTTCATCAGGAAACAAGTAGAGCATAAAAAAATTAGCACGTCAACAACATCTTTAGAGATTTCAACCTAAAAAACTGTTACAATATAAGAAGACTGTTATCTAAATGGAGAATATTTTCAGTGCAGAAGGACAAGCATCTTGGATTTCATGATTTCATAATAATAGAAATAATTTTTTTGAGAATTAATTTAGATTGAGTATGCAAAAAAGTATGCGGTATTATGCAAAAAAAGCTGAAAGGAGGGAACAAAAAATTATAAGAAGCTTGAAATCTATGCAATAACTATTATTTAAACTTACTAAGCTACACTATATAAATACCAAAATAAGATAACAATACAAGAAAGTAAATGCATGCAAAGCTTTGCTATATACGGGCTACTTGAGGCAAATTCAATGAGTAACAGTAGAGTTGACACTACACGTACTAGAGTAGACCATTAATCAACCTTCATGTTCTATTAGTTTTGTTGTTAAATAACAAATGAAGAAACTTTGAGTCGTCGGCGCCTACTGACTTGAATGGAACTTCTAACTTGAACATGACAGCAACTTTATCGCAGTACGAATAATTAGAATAAGTATTCGTACAATGGTACCAATATTTTTCTCATGCACCACTTGTACTGATGAAGCAAAGCACTAATGGTCAAGGAGAAGAGAGGAAGTCACCGGAAAACAGGTACTAGTAACGTTCATTGTATCGCTTACTTCGGTATTGAGATGTGGGCATTAATTTTTGTCAAAGGTATTTTTGCTGGCGCATTCGGAAACGATTAACAATAAAGAGAATGGAGAATTGTTCAATAGCCCTTTTCTAGTTGAATCAAAGCTATTGTTGCAACTTGAAGCAATGTAAGGAACTAATCTGTAATTCATGTTAGTATTTGAAGTTCGAAAATCTTGACCAAAAATGGCATTATGGCAAAACATGAAGAAATTTAATTCATGACTACGTTAAGTTACCAATACTAATATATCAGCTTTAGAGATTAATAATAATTATCTAGAACCCTGAAACTAAGAAAAATCTCAGAGGCGACATTGGTTCCAATCACAAGCGAAAGTGTTTCGTACACTTTCGCACTTTTGTACACAAATAGCGTACAAAATTGAACGGTATTACCAGTATGAGATGAGAGGAATTCTTCTGATACAAGACAACACTCTTTTATCGTGCAATGACTTGGTTTGCTAGTTCCTGAGCAGTCTCTCCTGCAACTTCATCAGCAATTGACTGATCCTCAGTATGACAAGAGTAAACCTTAGGAGCCCCAATGGGCACAGCCTTCTTCACGCCATTGGGGTTTATGATCAGCATAATGGCATGATTAGTTTCTCTCATGGGCGTACTCTTGTCGCACGCACTAGCAACATGCGGGGGGAATCCTGTACTTGCTAGAGGAGTTATCAGGTATGCATGCATGCTAACTCGACATTGACCAAGTAAAGCTTCGCAAAGAGGCTTCAATTGTTTGCTGCAAATGTTGAGATTTTATTCAAAAATCAATATTTTTCAGTACATCAAACTATTTTACACCATTCTTTATTGAATAAAATACATTTCTTCGATAAAAGTTTTTTAAGATTGAAATTGTTTGCTATACGTAGTGTTTAAAATATCATTTTAATAATTGCTACTACGCTATTATTGGAGTTGATAGCAAAAGACGGCATTGTAAATGCTGCATGACATCCAAAGCAGAAAAAATATAGCTTACCGTGAATGCTGTAGAGTCCCCACATCTACACCAAGACCTGCTAAGAGTGCGATGATATTTTCGTAGTTTACTCCTGCCGACTTCATCTATATGCAAGCCAAAGCAGCAGATACATAAGAGACTGCCACTTTTAGTACTCTGCTTTGCTCCTCCGTTTTTTCTTTGAAATCAAGGACAGCTTGAACGTGGGCATCGCCACTTGATGATGCACCGAGAAGATGGTCGAAAATTTTACGACGGATGCTGTAAAATTTTCTGCGGTGCGTCTCTGAGGAACCAAGTTCAGTCACCTCAACATGGAAACCACGGCAAAATTCCACTCTGCAAAGAATAGAACGGTACATCAGCTGAGGTAGGGACTGCGTTTGCGAATACGGGAGCAAAATATGTAGCAGAGGCATTTCAAGGTAAAATGGAAGTGGATCAAAGGATTGAATTTTGTTATTGTAAGCGCAGCAGTCTGTACAAAAATGAGGATTTAATTCTATAAGCGCAAAAAAAGAGTTAAATGATACGAATATCTCATACAATAGTTCAAACTCACGCTCTGCCACGGTTAAGTTTCCCTAGCAGTCCAAATGCAGCTCTGCATACACTTCAATACACTTTGCAGCTTGCTCCCTCTCCTTCTTCAATTTTAATGGATGAATTCTGGCTAATAGCGATCAAAGATGTTGATGACTTCAGAATGGCCACTTTTTTGGCTGTCATCAAGTAAGACTCTGTTTAAACTCTGACTCTGTGAAATGTGAGACACAGGAATGATGAGTTGCCTCGCGACACTTTTACAACTGCTATAAATGATCCGCAAATTATCTTTTCAAACAGCAACATATTTCGTCTCAATTTTGTCACGATTCATGCTCTCTCTCGGGTGTACTTCATATATTACTACCCATACTTCTTTCGTCCATTATATCATGGGTATGACTGTTGAATTAAAAATTTAACGGATCGTATTATAAAATCTTTTATTTAATATATCCAAACCAAATTATCTTAATAACTATGAACTTAACGCAACATCTTTACATCGTTATCAGCTTGAAATCAAGATCCTTTTTCAAGATAATGAAAGCTCTGTGATCCCAAAATACGAGACGAGTATCGCGTTAGTAACGAGCTAAAGAAAGGAAGAGGAATATTTATAATACTAGAGTTAACCTTTTCCTTGGAAGAGACACAACAGCAAACACTTTGCGATGGTTTTGTAGTTAATTTATCAACCAGCGAGTCTAGGTGCCGAAAGATGGCCTCGTAATTTGAATCTCTCTTCGATAAATTATCTCAACATTCCCGGAATTAGTCTTGGCTGGAAATAGAACGAATGACTCTAGGGAGTTTTGTTTTCGTGGAACTGAGGCAATGGACCCAGTTATTGAACAAAACTGTGGAAATCTCGATGGAACGTGAGAAGACCTAGGTGAACGGTTGTCCGAATACTAAGACGAACGGGTGCGAGGAGACCGAGGCGAACGGTGCAAGGAGACCGAGGCGGACGGTGCGAGGCGACCGAGGCGAACGGTGCGAGGCGAACGGTGCGAGGAGACCGAGGCGAACGGTGCGAGGAGACCGAGGCGAACGGTGCGAGGAGACCGAGGCGAACGGTGCGAGGAGACCGAGGCGAACGGGTGCGAGGAGACCGAGGCGAACGGGTGCGAGGAGAGTGAGGCGAACGGACGCGTAAAGGCGAACTGGCGTGAGGAGACCGTGGCGGACGGGTACGAGACTGAGTTGAGGTAGCGCGATGAGACTCAAGCGAAAGATCGCTTGGCAAGTGAGGAAGAGGAATATTATCAATTTTACTTCCCATATTGTTAAGAGGCGAATAAAAAAACAATCGATTTGGTCCACTGATAGTCATAATCCCCTTTGTGTTGCTCTCTTGAATGCCGTTCGCCATAGCTTCGTGTCTTCCGCGCGAGTAAGTGGCCGCACTCAAGACATATATATTATTTCCTTTTTAGCTTCTTTTCCTTATCAGCGGCCTTCTTGGTTGATTTCTTCGTTGCCGGCCCTCTTCCGCCTCCTAGAATCCTCATCAATGCAAGCACGCTTTTGTTCTTCATGCGTCTGGAAAATCATGAGAAACATGAGTGATGAATTACTTGTATAACTCAACTGTCTGTTATTTCTTAATTTCGAAAATACATCAACGCTGGAACGTACCGTCTCTTATGTATTTACTTTTACATACTACATGGACCGACATAAAATAAAGGAACATCCTTGAAAGAAAGTCAGGAAATTAATAAAATTAGTTCAAGTTCAAAATGGAATATGTTCAAGGCTTCAAGCACCTGCATATGAGAAGAGTGTGGATTGTCGTAGCCGTTGAGGCGCACGCTTCAGGGGAATCAGCCAAGACTTCAACAGTAGAGCCGCTTGTCTCCTCAATCATACTCACGCTTGAAGACCTGAAATATAATACTGCAATCAGGTAATGCTGTTTTGTAACAGACTGGCAGACAGACCGAGGTTTATCCGGGAAAACAAATTTTAGGCATTGAAAAATCCCATTTACACGAAGCCCGTTATCCCAATTCCAGAGTATAATTTTTTATTTAAAGTACGTTAATTATACCAGGTGCTGATCACTGAGGTCTCGTTCTGTCCCATAATTGGTATGAACCATTTGTCTAACAACGAAATTGGGTGCAAAGCGAGGCACAGCCCAAGAAACAAGTAGCCGTTCATCCCAAACTTTCTCTGTATGTGAGAGCAATTTAAAACCCAAGAAAAACAATTCTTTGATTTTTGTGATTGAAGATACAAAATATATAAGAAAATTGTTTATATATATATTTGAGTTGGTCACTCATCCTTCCAAAGCTTCCTTTGGTTGCTCAAATGTTAGGGCCATCCGTTTAAGCTTTGTGCCTTTGCATTACACAAAATCTTGAAGCAGCTACAGAGGTTATGCAGTGATTGCACTCTCCATCTACTTGCTGAAAGCAACTCACTGCCCGTACAAATATGGGAGCTTCACCTCCTCGCAAACACCAGGACAAAACCAGCTCTTGTGGTACAGAAACATTTCCTGATTGTAAGCGAAATAAACTGACTTATTCATGTACTCTTTAGAGAACAAGTTTATCAAGAGAATACCAGGATTAATTTTGTACTATTGGAGCTTCACCTCCTCGCAAACACCAGGACAAAATCCGCTCTTGTGGTACAGAAACATTTCCTGATTGTAAGCGAAATAAACTGACTTATTCATGTACTCTTTAGAGAACAAGTTTATCGAGAGAATACCAGGATTAATTTTCTACAAGAGATACCGGGGCGATATCCCTGTCGCAAGCTAACTTGAAATTCACTCATTTTGTATGTTTGTTGCTTTTTAACGATTGGTGCTAAAAAATAATACACAAAAGCACTTCGTTTCACGCATGGACCGCCACAGGCTGAAGTTATCGGTCTACCTATGAAGGGTTGACCTGGAGGTGTCATCTTATGCACTTTTGGTAGCATGTATATGGTAGGTGTACTTATTTCATCCTTGTTTTGTTTCAGAGATTGGTAAGTTTTATCATTTATCTGTACTGATTGTTTAATTCCAGACACTTGAGCTGAACTTTTTTATATATATCATTAATGGGATTTTCTTTCAATTTTTTGTAGTGTTCGGTATTCAGATGTTTTTCGATTGCTTTTATATAATCGTCCCGATTCATTATTACGATTGCACGTTCTTTATCCACTGGTTTTATCACGATGTCTTTCCTGGATTGCAGGGTTTTAAGCGCTTCCCTCTCTGGATGGGAGAGATTATTTTTAGCTTTCATCTTGACGTTCTTATGATTTCATATAGTTTTTTTTTAAAGTTTAACAAGGAAGTATTTTCTCTTTCAGGGGGGTTCCATACTGATTTTGTGTGGAAAGGAGTTATTTTATATGTTTTATTATGGAAGAAAACCCTTAAGTTCATACAGGGTGCGCCACAGAAACTTACTTATTTGAAAAAATTCCTGTGCGGTTAGTTGGTCGGGTAGAGGGGCGAGATGGGGTGCATCTGAAGAGGAAAGTTCCCAAGTTTGTTTCTAAAAGTTTCTCAAATAAATTTGCTGTAGTGCAAGAATTAACTGAACGCGATTTTGTTGCCCCTCAAAATGCATGTAAAATGCTGGTTGACAACCTGCCTGAAGACGCGGTCGTTTTTTTCAGTGGCGAGGCTCACTTCCACATTTCCGGCTGCGTTAACGTGTGGTTTCAGCAAGATGGAGCCACAGCACACACAGCACGACACTCGATGAATTTGTTGCGACAACATTTCCCCGACCGCCTCATCTCTCTCAGAGGCGATCTCCAATGGCCGCCACGCTCTCCAGGTTTGACTCCATTCGATTTCTTTTTATGGGGATATTTGAAATTTCTGGTTTATGTCGATCGACCACGGACCATAGCCCACCTCAAGAACAACATTCGCGACGTCATTGCCAAAATACCGATTGATATGCTGCATAGAGTGGAAACCATTATGAAAAAAGCGACTTCATTGGTTTATGCGCAATGGAGGCCGTCATTTATGAGATTTAATTTTCAAAACTGTGTGAAAAAAAAAATTTGGGATACTGTTTTCTCGAATAAAAAAAATTTAAAACAATAACTGAAGTACTTTTGTTTTTATTGACCTTTCAAATAAGTAAGTTCCTGTGGCGCACCCTGTAGTTCTTCGTAACTCATTTGGTGTTCTGATCAAATCTGAGGCTTTTTATTTGTTGGGTGTTGGAATGAACTTGAGGCCTTTCGAGAGCAATTTCATCTCACCTTTAGAGAGCTCAATCTTGGATAGATTCTTGATATATCTAAAGTGAATGTGGTCGTGTGTGTAGGCTGTGATTTAACGCCCTTCAAAAGGTTCAGAGACCTCATTTTAGGCCAGTTGGTGTTTACCTTTCTCCTCATTTTAAAGATTCTGTGATTTATTAAACTTTATTTAATGATGCCGTGAGCTTCAAAGTAAGAGTAACTCATATAAAGTCAAATGGCTCTATTAAATTTTTAATCGTTCACCACGGACGAGAGAAGCATGCGTGAAAGAACAAGTTTAAGGATTTTACGAGTGAGGTAAAGGTTAAGTAAGGTATAACAACCTTTTTTCAAAATAAAAGGCGGCTTATATTTTGTTTTCTTTAAATAGAAAATCTCCTCAGCTTCGCATATCGTGCCTCTTATAAACTTGCATGATTCGGGAGCAGATAACCATTCGGACTATAGTCATAGGCAGTTAACGGTGTAAGGTTCCCATATTGATATGTTCTGACAGGCTAATGCGTGTAGGTCCGCTAAAGAGAGTTGTCAGATCGCTCGAGGCTCGCTGTGTGGCCTTACGCTTTGTAAGCCTGAAGGATTAAGCTCTTAAAGGATTATTAAGAATTAAAAAATATATATTTATTAATAAATCCAACTGCATAAAAGAGCTCTAAAAATGTAAAAATATATAAAAAAATATATCCTAATAAAACCTATAAGGAAATTATCCAACTCGGTCACCTGCTATTCTATATGAATATGCCGGGCCTTGCACTCCAAAGGGAGCTCCTCTTCCGGCAATGTGAGATCCGAAAATTAAGCTTATGGTCGCTCAACTCCACAGTGAATTTAACAGGAACATGGAGTGAATTCAAGTCCTCGAGCAATGAGTGGATTTCAAGTTTGCTTGCGACCGGGATATCGCCCCGGTATCTCTTGTACAAAATTAAACCTGGTATTCTCTCTTGATAAATTTCTTCTCTAATGCCCCGTTCTCACATAGCCGGTTAAAGGGCCGGAAGACACCCGGAATCGATTCCTGGGGTACCGTTTATCAAACTGGAGATCCGGGAGTTCCTAGAGTTCCTGGAGGGCGAGGCCATAATCCGGCTTGGTCGGAAAAATTATTCAACATGTTGAATAATTTTGCCGGTACGCCCGGAACCATAAAAATCCGGGAGCCAACCTGCTCTTCCGTTGCTATGTGAGAACTCAACCGGCACGGCCAGGGGACCAGCCTGGGATACCGGGAGGGGTGAAATCGTCCCCAAAAATTTTTTTTGTGCGAATGCATTGTCACTTATTCACATTTTCAGCCTATGTGCTGTTTCAACTTTGTACTTTTTTTTGCAAATGCATTGTCAATTGTTCATATTTAATACTATTTGCTGTTAAAATGATGTACTTTTTCACATTTTTGTGTAAGTTTTGTTAATTATTAACATTTCTTTCATGTCTGCTGATCAAACTTTGCAAATTTGCATTAGATATACCGGTATGCATGTTTATATTTTGTAAACACAATGTAACAATAAATGGGGTGTGATTAATTGAATGAAACATTATCACCATTTTCTTTTTTGTAAACACTTTCGGAAATAATTGTCTGAAATAATTTTGTAAACACTTTCTGAAATAATTTTGTGTTAAAGATGAATAAAATTTTTTAACTGAAGCTGATACACATTTTTGCTTTTACATTCGGAAAAGTTGTCCTTACTCGATAAAGTTCCTAAAACATTTTAATACACTTTTTAACTTATAATACCTGTCCCATTTACTTTAGATCTGAATATTGTGGAAAAGATATTAAATTAAATAGGGGAACTTTTGATTAAACACTGAAAGCGTTTATTGAAAGGGGCGGGCCTAAATTTGCATAACTTATCTGGAATACCGGGAAAAGAGCTCGGCCTACCCTGGTTTTACGGCAGTTCTTTCTGCTCAAACGGCTCTACCTGTTGTTTTACCGGCTTTTTTTTCGGGAATTCCGGCGATCTACTTGGAAATCCAGGAGACATACGGGACTTCCGGCAGGCTCCCGGGAGTACCGGGAATACGTTGACAGCCGGTATTGCAGGATCTCCCGGTTACTGAAGCCTGATCTCCCGGATATCCGGCTCTTCCGGGAAACCTACCGGCTCTTACGGGACAGCTACCTGGAGGGCATTACATATTAAGCCCTGTCCCTTGCATATTACGCCCTGCCCCATATAACGGCTATAAATCCGGCATTTCAACCGGCTTGGCGTTTCCGGGACTTCCGGCCCTTTAACCGGCTATGTGAGAACGGGGCATAAAGAGTACATGAATAA